CCATTGTTGCCGTTAGCTCACTTCTATTTACACCGCAACAGGCTTTTTTCCTATGGTAAACAGCGTGCTTTGCTTTTCTCCTTCCTTTCCTCTTCACGCGTTGCGAAACACCGTTGACCGCCTGCGAAAAATCCTGGTTTTAGGAACGAGGGTGCAGGGAAGGGGGCACCTCCCCCTGCACCCGATCAAAATATGTATTTCACAACAATATCTCTGAGTTGTAGACATTTTGTCAGCTCATCAACACAGTGGACTTGACGGCCAAGCTCATCAGCTCATCTAGCAAGCGACTTTTCGGTTCGATATTCACACCTGCGTACATGAATTTTAGAAGCGTTTTCACGACTTCGGTTGGCTCATCGACCACGTGTGTGATTTCTTTCTCATCACTGTCATTTTCATCGGGGCCGGCGTTAAACTTATTATTATTATAAAAAGGAGATCGAGCTGCGAAAATGAGTTTGTTTAGACAAAGCTCGGTATCACCTGCCTTTATAATGAAATCACTTATGTCGCCACTGTGGAGAAAAATTATTAGATTTGCGCGCGGTTGTCACTGCGTTCAAGTCTCCTGGTTTTGTCGCCCGTTTTCAATGCAATGTTCAGTCAAACGGATATAAATTGAAGCTGCTGGCCGCCGTCAATAAGGTATTTTTTTACCAGTTTTTTCACACTGTAATTTAGTACCTTTAGTAATTATTTTTATTTTGTTTACAGTCCAATGATCAATGATAATGGCTACGCGAAAGTCTTGAAAAACAAGCACACCTCGACGACTGATCAGATCGGTTTTGCAATAAACCCGAAATCAATTTTTAGCATAAGGATCACCAGTTGGCCGTTTGCTGCCAGGTTTGATCATCATCATCATCATCACCATTTTTTCCTGCTGGTTTTTATTACCAACTAATAATACCGTGTGTTATCATACTTAACAGGTCACTGTTTGCTGCAATTATGTCGCACCAGTCTATTGCTGCCATCCATCCCCATCGAAAAAATGACTTCAAGAAAAATCTGAAAACCCTTCTTTACAATGGCGACCTGAGTGATTACATTTTCAATGCTAGCGATACCGAACTCATTTACGCAGTTCGTTCTCCTTTTTTTGGCAATAAGTTTTCTGTCAGTCCAGCTGAGAATGGTAATGATGAGGAAGGAAACACAAGCGAGGATGATGAGCTTGCCGAAATCGTGAAGGAACTTCTGGAGCTCATCTACACCGGTGTGAATCTTGAACCGGAAAGTCTGCTGAGCGGCGTTCTACTCGGCCTGGCGTCACCAATAAGAAAATCAGTTCGAAAGACTAGATGCATTTTGTTACGAGATTCTACCAAATTGTTTTTGTGTACTTTTTATTCATTTGCTGTACATTCCTTTCACTGTGCCCTTACAAATCAACAAACTACATTTGAAAAGATTTGCAAAGATATGTGCAGTGGTGCTGAAATTTACGTTTATTGTTGTCGGGTGATTTGTGAGGGGTGGGGGGGGGTTGTAGTTTTGAATACAGAAGAATATAAAACAATTTAAAAGGTGGGATAGGTGGCCGCAAACTTATAATAATGTAGTGGTCAAGGTATTAAGGGTGTAAAATGAGATGAGACGTGCAGTGTGTACCGGTGATAGATCAGTTAAGGTGAGGCCTGGTGAGGTTATAAAAATTTGAATTGGGGATGAAACGTCTAAAGTTAAATTCGATTGCGATGTTTGAAGTGATTTTATGCCACTCGGTGCAAAAATGACAACAATATGGGGCCTGTTAGCGAATCAAGTTCTTCGACTTGAGATACACTCTCGCTAATTGCATTAGAGTTCTCGACAATGCTCGTTTGATTGACTTTCTTTTTGGCCATTCGGTAGAAGATGTCCTTGAGCAGCTCAGGACGGGCGGCTGCCTCGAACTGAGCCCAAGCCGATTCAGTGTCGCGGGACACGACTCGATCAGAGTTGTTGACAATAAAGTCAAGGCAACGCTCCTTGAGAGTGAGCGCATTGTGCAGTTCAGCGTACTGAAGAGTGGTGAAAACAGAGTTGACGGTGATCAGGTTTCCCAGCAGCATCTCACACTGGGCCTTGAGCAAGTTCACTTGATACTGTTGAAAAATGAAACCAAAAATAATTACTGCTGAAGTTACCAGCGGATTAAAAATAAACAGTACCTTATCAGCGGCGTAGAGAAGCTCAAAGAGAGGGCCCTCCTTTTCCGTTTCCAGATCGTACTTCAGCTCTCCAGTGTAGAAGTAGGTGAGCATGCGGCGCATCGTCGCCGCGGACACATCCTCGATGATCGCTCGTTTCTCCAGTACCTCCTTGGTGTTAGCATTGCTAAACATTGCATTGAACACGGGCGAGCAGGCGGAGAGGTGAACACGATAGACGTTGAACTCCTTCTGCTCCTGGCCGGGTGGACCGACGACCAGGGTGAAGTCGCTGAATCGGCCACTCTCCAGCATTGATTGCATCTTCTGGCGATAAGATGGCATGGTATCGTTTGCCGGTAGTTCAGCCATTTCGATTCAGATTTTAGTGGTCAGTCGACAGGGGAAAAGATGAAAGACACTTGTTGCTGATGATCAACGCACACCAGCAGCCTTTCTTTTGCGGGGAACAAAAACAAAGAGCAGCTAATGAGCAAGGGTGCTGCTGCTGCTGCTGCAAATGCCACCGCGTAGCAGACATTCGCAGCAGGCGAGTGAGAGAGGGATACGAATGTGTTGTGTGCTGTGGTGCTTTACTGTCTCTGCCCACTCGCACAAGGTACCGTTCTGACCACTTCACAGAGAGCGGTCTTTAGCGGTTTTCAGTGAAGCAGAACACTTTTTAGTCGGGAAAAGGGGCAGCGCAACCCACAATCGTCCCCCAAATGGAACTTCTCAAACTGCAGCAAAAAGGGCCGGAAAAAAGGCTAAAACCACAAGGCTCACTTTTGAGTTAAAATAACGTTTTAAAGTTTAAACCGGGNCAGAACACTTTTTAGTCGATAAAAGGGGCAGCGCAACCCACAATCGTCTCCCATTGGAACTTCTCAAATTACAGCAAAAAGGGCCGGAAAAAGGGCTAAAAACACAAGGCTCACTTTGAGAGTTAAAATAACGTTTTAAAGTTTAAGCCGGTCGAGTTGTTTGTACATTCCTCGTAAGTGCTCTTCTAAGAAAAGGGTAAAATAAAACAGCACATCGCTGACATCTGCTTTTGAAAAAGAAAATTCGCTGCTGGAACCAAATTGGAGAACTGAGATAATTGAGCCTACTTTGGGTTTTAAAACTTTAGAAAACTATCAAACAGAGATTTACGTTTTTTCTTCTCTTTACGAGTGCGGGCGTGCTGATTGTTTATCGAAGAATGAAGAGGCTGCTGCTCAGGCTTCTTCTGAACTGTGGCCAATCGGTGGAGGAGGTCCTTGATCAGCTGCTGAGAGGCGGCCTCTTCAAAGTTCACCCAGGCGGAGCCACTGCTGCGGGAGATGATACGATCCGAGTGGCGGACGATGAAGGCGATGGCTCGCTCCCTGAGTGCGAGGGCACAGTGCAGATCGGCGGCCTGAAGAATGGCGCACACCGAGTCGACGGTGATCAGGGGCGACAGCAGAAGCTCACACTTCCTCTTCAGCGGCCCCACCTGATACTGAAGGCAAAAGAGAGAGAGAAGAAAATGAAAGAAATCAGATGCTGAAGCAGTTTTGGAAAAAAGTAAACAAACAGTACCTTATCAGCTGCAGCCATAAGCTCCAGCAGGGACCTTATCACCTTTTCCTTCTTCTCTTCAAACTTTAGCTCGCCAGTGTAGATGAAGGTGAGCAGGCGTTCCATCGTCTCCGCGGACATGTCCTCAATGAGCACCCGCCTCTCCAGCGCCTCCTTTGTGTCAGGATGGCTGAACATCGCCTCGAAGACGGGTGAAAAGGTGGCGAGCAGAGCGTGGTGAACCTTGAACTCCTTCTCCTCCTTGAGATCCAGTAGCACATCACCATCACCATCACCACTACCACCATCACCAACGACGACCACTACGACGAGGGTGACGTCGCTGAATCGGCCACTCTCCAGCAGTGATTGCATTTTCTGGCGGTGAAAGGTGTCAGCCGGTGGCGTGGCCATTTTTAGTGGCGAGAGAGCGGGTTGATGATGATGATGGGAAAAGAATGAATTAGAGATTTGGTAGCTGGTTGCTGTTGACTCAGGAAGGGCGTCGAAGAAATGCAAGCTCAAACGGGGACAGCTGCTGTGTGTGTTTATCTCAGAAATCAAATCTCTGCTGGGTTAACGCCGTACACCAACTTTTGAGTGGAAATAGTGCGTTGATAAGCACACATCTTCAACCAAGGTTGAGCTTTTGTCGCACTTTGTGAATTGCTTTTAGTGCAGTCTTTTTTGGGAAAAGGTAAGCATAACCAAAGAAACGTTGACTTTTTAATTATAACAAGAAAAATGCATAAATACAACTTGCCGCCTTCTTGTGAGGCCAGAATTTGCTGCCGCCATTGCAAAAATGGTTACTGAGATAGTTGCGCATTTTACCACTCGGGATCTGAGTAGTATCAGCAATATGAGCAATAAAATGTAAGCTTATTTTTGCAATGATTGCACCGTTTGGACTCTTTTTTCACTTTGGCAGCCATTCGGTAGAAGATGTCCTTGAGCAGCTCAGGACGGGCGGCCGCCTCAAACTGCGCCCAGGCCGATTCACTGTTGCAGGACACGACCTGATCGGAGTTTTTGGCAATAAAGTCGAAGCATCGCTCCTTTAGGGTGGGTGCACTGTGCAGATCGGCAGTCTGAAGAATGGCGCACACCGAGTCGATGGTCACCAAACCAAAAAGGCGACTCTCACATTCATTCTTGATCACATGAACTTGATACTAAAAACAGAAAAGAGAAAAAGAAGTAATCAGTTGCTGAAGTTTGGACACAGTCAGCACACAATTTACCTTATCGATGGCAACCAAAAACTCAAGCAGAGACTTTTCTTTTTCTTTCTCGTCAAACTTCAGCTCGCCAGTGTAGATGAAAGCGAGCAGATGTTGCATCGCATTGGCGGACACGTCCTCAATGATCACTCGCTTCTCCAGCGCCTCCTTCGTGTCAGGGTGACTGAACATCGCAGAAAAGACGGGCGAGAAGGCTGAGAGCAAACTTCGATGGACTTTGAACTCCTTTTTCTGCTCCGGTGAGCCTTCGACGACCACCAGGGTGACATCACTGAGCTCGCCACTTTCCAACAGCGATTGCATCTGCTGACGGTGAAGGGCGTCGACCGGTGTTTTAGCCATAGTTTGAGTTCAGAGTTGACTGAAACTGGAGAAGAAAGGGAGAAACTTTGAACTTCCTGATAGCGGGCGTCAAAGGTAAACACAAATAAACAAAAATGCGTGCACGCTAAATCCACTTCCAGTCTGCTGTGGAAACGCTAAAAACACAAAATCACTTTTGAGTTGAAATAGTGCTTTGAAAAGAAAAAATCTTCAACAGGTTGTTTTTTGTCGGATTTTGTGCATTCTCAAGTCAGTATTTTTCTTAAAAAGTAGAAATAACAAAAGAACACGTTGACTTTTTATATTTTTTTAATTATTTAAGTATTCTAAAAATCTACCTTCTAAAGTTTCGAATGCTCAATTTAGGCTCAAAATAACTTATTTTCCCATTGCTCGTTGCAATTTTTCTTAATAACAATAAATGTAGAAATATAACTTGCCTACAAAAATTTTGAATGCCCGAATTTGTTTTCTACTATTGAAAAGATAGTAACTAGGAAAGACGGGCTCTGCCATATTCTTGGGTGTTTGGAAAAAACCGATGCGGTTCAATCTGTTTGGCAGCCAGTCGGCAGAGGAGTTCCCAAAACAAGGCCGAATGGGCGGTCGCTTCAAACTGCGGCCAGAGTTCATTGTCGCAAAAAATGATCTGACCGGAATTGGCGACAATGAAACGGAAACATTTCTCCTTGAGAATAGATGCACTGTGCAGATCAGCGTACTGAAGGAGAGAGAGCACCGAATCGACGGCCACTAAGTCAGCAAGGAGAAATTCGACCCTATTTTTGAGAAAGTCTACCTGATACTGAGCAAACAATCAGAAAAAAAAGAAAAAAGAAAAAACAGTTGTTGAAGTACTTCAGAAAACAAGTAAACAAACTGAGACTGACCTTATCACAAGCAGCCAAAAGCTCCAGCAGAGTCTTTTCTTTCTTTTCAAAAATCACTTTGGCAGTGTAGATAAAGGAGAGCAGGCGGTGCATCGTCTCGGCGGACACGTCCTCTATGAGCACTCGCTTCTCCAGCGCCTCCTTTGTGTCAGAGTGGCTGAACATCGCAGAAAAGACGGGCGAGAAAGCGGAGAGCAAATTTCGATGGACTTTGAACTCCTCCTGTTTCTCCTTCTGCTCCAGTGGTCCGACCACCAGGGTGACGTCGCTGAACTGCCCACTCTCCAACAACGATTGCATCTGATGAAAGTGAAAAAACATGGACTTTTGGATTTCCGAAAAACTGTGGAAAATATAAACCATTTTGTCACTCACACAATCACTAACTGTAAATAAGTTAGTGTGCAAAAGCTCAGCTTTATATTTGAACAAAAATTGAACAAAAACTGAATAGTTCAAATTTTCGAACTTTTGAAACTCTTTCTCCCCTCAAGTTACTACTCCTCCCCAAACGGATAATCAGGATGCGTTTCTGCGCCGGGCAGCGTATAGATTCGTTTTTTCTGGGGCAACGCCCCCACCGCCGCCACCTCCTCCTCATCCAGGGAAAAGTCAAAGAGCTCCAGGTTGGCGGCCATTCTCTCCGCGCTGGAGCTCTTCACAACCAACGGGACCGGGGGGTTGCTGCGGTCCAGTTGCCAGCGAAGAGCCACCTGGGCGGTGGTCTTCCCGTACCGCTCAGCAATGGCCGCCAACTTCCTGTCAGCCAGCAGGCCTCGAGTGTCACCTCGTCGAAGGGGAGCGTACGCCTGCATCAGCACCTTACTGTCGGCCATAAAGCGACGCAGCTTTTCATTGCTGAAGTAGGGATGCGATTCGACCTGAGCAATAACAAAAGGAAAAAATCGTCGTTTTCAAAAACAATCAAAACATTTCAAATTGTGGCCCTTTGTTTCTTGTACCTGATTCAACACCGGCTTCACCTTTGCCTGGCGCAGCAGCGTCCTCATTTGTCGGCGGTTGAAGTTGGAGACGCCAATGGAACGGGTCAAATTCCGCCGTACCGCCTCCTCCAGCGCCTGCCAGCTCTCCAGAAAGGCATTCCGCTT